TGACCTTTTAGCCAAGCCAACGCTCTACCCACTTGAGCTACGAATGTCGCGCGACATTCGCAGCTCAAGTGGGTAGAGCAGTTGGCTGGCTAAAGGCCACTTTCGAATCCCGCCGAATGCCGCGAGTTTTTTCACAATTGGGTCAACTAAATTTATAGAATGTGTTAGTATTTGAAAAGAAAAGCTGCCGCTCATTGTAAAGATTCAGGTTAGACCACACAACCCTGCCAGTAAATATACATAACTGCCCCAAACATTGATCATCAGGAGGGAATTCCTAGATAGAATGAGTGCACTTATTGATTTTGTAGCTTACCATGTTAACTGTTCAATTACTGAATAAAATGCCCGGACGCGTGCTTTGGCGGTATTCTGCCACCACTTGACACAGCTGCGAGGGGTCCGAATCATCAGTGGGTTTCCTAGCTTCCCCTGTATGCTTACTGATTGATATACCGGTTTTGAAAGTTCAGCTTTTTACTACACTTAGAAAATAATTTTTGTTCGCGGTGTACATCAGTATATGCAAGATCTGTAGACATATAGCAAAATTGTAAGGGTGTATTTGAGGTGAAATCCCTGTAGATCCCTGATTGAAAAGACAGCATATGCAACCATCAAGGTAGTTAGACGTAAAGCATATCCACTAGCGTGTGACGATGACAGACGAATCCGTCGAGGACATTAACCGATCGCTAAGATGAAAAATGACGAGATGGAGTTAAAGGTCGTCAAGATCATCGGCGCAGGGGGAGCGCTGCAGTTAATGGTTTTAACAGTCCTTTAATGGTATTAACTATTGCATTTGTTACACGCAAAACATAAAGTACCTAACCCAAAATCTCAAGACAGCCCTCTTCTTAGTCCAGGCATTGAATGTTCACAGGTGCCTTTTTAATTTTCATTTGAATGCTGATAATTAAGGTTATGAACTAATTTCAAGGGAACGAATCTTACAAAGGAAATATATTTAGTTGAATAAAAGAACCGTCATTTAACACACAAAGCAAAGCGACGATATTATAAATAAGTAGAATTACTCGAATAAGACCGAACGAGTCGAGTGAGGTTATCTGTACTTTGAAAATTGCGGCTAGAGTTAGCAAAGGCCAGCTTAAAGTCTCTTCAGTAAATATTTAAGGTTTGCCAGATGAAATTACGCAGTATACGAGGAGTATTCGAGGAAAAAAGCAACAATTTTAACTGTTTGCTGACACCGACGTTCATAAAAACAAAGAAATGGCATTAATATTCGACGATAGTGGGATAATATTAACTAAACTCCTAGCTTCATAACGATGACTAAAAAGTGTTTACATTAAATTTTCTGCTAATACAATTAATAAATGACTTCCTAGACGGAAAGCTAATCTGTCTTTTATATGGAAATGCCTTACGTTTGAAAATTTGAGAATCCATATCTATGCTGAACATGCAATATTATTGCAGAAAATGCGTTGTTCTGTTCCTTGAAAACTTCTCGCCGGAGATGTCGAAAGCCCGGTATTTGGTTTTTGGCCAACTGACAATTAAAGGGCAATCTCGCAAACAACAATATTATTCTTCCGATGTTTCAATTGCAGACAGGCTTCAATCATCGGAGGCAGTACTGATATCGCGCCTCACAACATTTATATGTATTGCTTATCATTGTAAGTAGGGGTAAACCCATGCAGAGATAGAGGAACGGAGGTCCAGATATAATTATTCATCACAGCTCTCGATGCAGTAGGAGGAAGCTGAGAAAATGTTTTCAGTCTAGGATCCTGTAGTCTGGGGCCCTTGTTCGCACGTTGGCCGCGATCCTCAGTACTCTCATCGACCTTAAATATCGACTCATATTACTAATTTTTTTTGTGCTCACAGGTTTGTCTGCAATCTACCTTGCGGATGAGTTGATAGGCTGTCTAAATTGACAACTGCTCTTTCGTTGGGTCAAGGTTGCGTTGTGGTTCGTGTGTGTCCGCCATGTCCGCATGTCCGCCATGACGCGCATGTGTTCATATTCGCGTTTATCTTTATTAACCAGTTGTTATTTTATACACTGAATTGCGTTCGGATGAGGTGATCAGCTGTGGGAAGCGCCACAAAAAGGTCGGTAAAGGCTCCCTGCGTTTGCCAGGTCCCGATAGTTTCTCTGGGTACGCGGTCATTTGCTTTAAGGCATACTTTCAGAATTCTGTAAATTCAACGTGTTTTCGGAGTCCTAACGGTGTTCACTCAACAAATATAGTGGGTCTATCTCTCTTACTGCCTTAATGAGTTCCCTAGTTCGGATCTACAGTCATTTGCCGGTCTCAACAATAAAGTTGGTTGGGAAGGAGACTGCCGCATATCGCAACTGCGTTGACCTATCCTGTCACAAATTATCCATCCCGCGTGCTATCGGCCTTTCTACCACTATCGATTGGCGAGCTGCTTGATAAGTTTTTTCTTATGTTAATCGATACTTCCGCTTCATTTGACTGGTTGCAGGTGAGATAGCATACTTCATGGAAGGCAAGGCTGCATAACAGTGCATATTTGACCGGACTCGACTGGCCTTTGTACGTAGCGCTTGTGATCACTTAGCAGCAGATATTGTAAGGCTCCTTTAGCGG